GCGTCAATTAATTAGAGTTCCATCCACCCTGGTAAAATAGTCCATAATAAGGAACTCAATCACTTGAAGAACAGTAAAGACTCTACTAAAGATTCATTCTCCTTTACAGTCTCGTCCATTCATTAGAAGCTTGACAGTCGAGCAACTTACTCATTCAACTTTTCCGATATTCCCTGACCAGAAGGAGGTAAACAAGGTCTCACTCCTTCCCCCTCACCTCTATGCTCTAAGCTACTTTGTTCACTCAAGCTCCGGAAGTCAATCCTCAACTCCCTATCCTTACTGTGTTTGAATAAAGGTAGACGAAACTCAAGACAAAGACTCCTACTTCGTTCACTCTTTTTCCTGTAAAGACCATTTCTTATTAAATCCTATCCTCTGTCTATTTTGAGGGCTATTTTCCCTAATTTCTGGAGGTAAAGGTCTCACAGCTTCTTCCCTTTCCGATTCGTCATCCGATTCTTTCTTTCAAAGACTGTAAACTCTTTCTCACTCCTTCCCCTAAACTCAATCACTTGAGGAATTCCATTGCCTCTTTATTCTTTCACTCGGTAAAGCATATTTAGTATTAGTAGCTCTTTTCTTGAACGAACTGTAAACACTCAACTCAAGCAAGAATTTGACTTAACTACTTCCCCGTCACCTCTCCAACTTGGTCTCGCACTTCCATTGCCTGAACCGGAACAAAAGAGAGTCAATTCATGAGCTGCTTGACAGGAGAGCTGCTGAGCTCCGTACCGAACTTCACTCCCGAACTATTCTTGAACGGTAAACTACTGAACCTATTGATTGATTCTTTCTCCTGAACTGACAGTCAAGACGAAACCTCAAGCCTATCCCTTTACAGAATGAGAATGAAAGATGAATGAGACTTTCCAGTCGAGTAAATGAATGACAAAACCGAAACTATAAACACTCAACTCTTTATGAATGAAAGTGAACTGGAAGTCAAGACTCAAGAGAAAACCTTCCCTCTTCATTCTCCTTCCCCTGCCTGAACCTCTCTCGGTAAAGTGGCTTGGCTTCGCCCCCGAACCTGATGTCCCTTCCCTTCCCTATTTATTCCTTCAAAGACAAGGTTGTAAAGCTGCTAATTCATTTACTCGACTGTAAAGACTCTCGATCGATGAATGAGACTGAACCGGACCCTTCTCTCTGTCTTCTCCTTTCGTTCTGTTCTATGGATTCTTTCTCCTATCTGTCTGACGGAGCCTTTTCTCTTTCCTTCACTCGGTAAATGTGTGTTTGTTTGGTTCTTTCTCCTGAGCCTCCTCCTTTGTTTAGGGACTGATGGAACTTCTTTCTTTTCCTATTTTCCTATGGATTCTCTTTCTCTTCTTCTTATTAATGAGACAGATGGAAATCGGGTTTCACTATTCAAACACAACCAGTAACCAAGGGCAAGCCAAAACAGGCAAGAATGAGAGTGAGCTCCTTCCTTTTCCTATTTATTCACTGTAACCTCCTGGCTTGGCTGTCCGTACTATTACTTCTGACCCTGATGTGGAACGAACTCCTTTTCTTCCCTTCCTATTTATTCACTGTAACCAGACTCACCTCCTTATGAATGAGACGGAACTGATCGACTATTCAATCCTGTAACTCAACCACCTTCTTTCTTTCGCCTATTGATTCTTTAACTGTAAACTAAGACTCAACAAGAATGAGACGGATGACACTCTGTTACTCTCCTGCCTTTAAACAAGGTCAAGCGGAAAGCAAGATTCATTCATTCTCTTTAACTCCTCTCCCTATTCTATGGGGCTCCCGGCTGAGATTCCCTTATTTTATTGGTCTCACAAGCACTAAGTTGAAGTCAGTTCTTTGCACTGATAAAGAAGATGATCGTAACCCTATTCATTCAATCAGTAAGTCAAAAAGGCCAACGGTTGGTTGCCTGCCACGAGAGCTCATGACCCTCTCCCCCTCGGGTTGGAATCTTTCCTTTGCTTTTCTTTCCTCTTGCTTCTTTCACTCGGTAAAGCATAAATTGACTTTCCCTGAACCTCTACCTATTTAGTTAGGAACAGTAAACAAAGACTCAAGACAGATTAATGATACTGCTGGAACCTTTTCCTATCCTTTAGGTCTGTCTCTTCTTATTCCTTTTGCTTTGATTTTCTTCTTCTTGCGCTGGGGTTGCCCTATTCTTTCCTTGGGTAAATGGGTGGGTTCATTCAGTAGCTAATGAATTTCCTCTCCTGTCTGTAAAGCCTCTCGCTCGATTCATGCTAGTTTAGGAACTGACCTCATGAACCTCATCACCATTAATTCTCCTTCATTCCTTTCCCTTTGCTTTGCTCCCCTTATTGGTCTTACAAGCACTAAGAAAAAGTGAGTTCGTTCTTTATTTCTTTGCGCGGATAAAGAAGATGATAGTAACCCTGCATTGTACTGATTTCACTCTACAGCAATTTAACCTTTCGGGGATGTAAAGAGGTGTTTGTTTCTTTGGTTCTTTCTCCGATTCCTCTTCTGTCTTTCACTGGGTAAACTCATTCACCTATCGGTTGAACAATCCCATTGCCTGAACTACTGAAGGAACCAAGACGGGCTATTCTTCTTTCACTCTTTTACGCTTTCTCCTGCCTGTAAGAAACATTAATGAGACAGCCGGAACTAATTAACCTCTATTCCTGTCAGTGATTGTTCCTTATTCTTGAACAGTAAAGAAAGGAAACTGAAGAGGAGAGTCATTCAATCCTGAACTACTGATGAACGAACCTTTGACTATCCGAGTTTACAGTGAAAGAAGAAATGAATTAGCTGCACTCTGTTTTGAAAGACTCAACTCTCGGTAATCGGAAACTAGTAGTCTTTCTCTTGAGAACCGGAACCTGACGAGTAGGGAATGAAAAAGGAAGAATCAGTCCTTTACGGTACAGTAAATGAAAGAGATAGTGAAACCAGACCCTTTACATTAGAGTCAATTCCTTGCAGCGACTGAACAGGAAGGCAAGAAAGAAAGGAGATGAAAGATTAATGAGACACTCTGAACCTGAACCTATTTATTCAAAGACTGTAACCAAGGGAAAGCCGAAACGAAAGATGAATGAGACTCTACGGTAAAAGAAAAGAAGCAAGCTCCCACCTGAACAGATATTCCCTGAGCAGCTGAACTCCGTAACCAATATTACCTGAACCAGAACCTTTATCAATCTCCTTCACCTTTACAGAATTAATTGAAAGAAGAAGAGAATGAAAGACGGATTTGCTCATGAAACTGCGCCCCTGCCCCGATATTACCTGAACCTGACCCTCTCTTTCTCCTGTTTTCAAGACTCTTTCAAATAAAAGATCAGCTCATGAATCAGAACCAGTATTCCCTCTATTCCCTTCCCTTATTGAATGAAGGAGATAAAGCAAGCTATTTGAAGAACCTTTGACTCTATTCCCTTTATAGTTGAGCTACTTATTCTTCTTTCTCCTGCTACTGAACCGTAACCTGGCTTCTCTCCTGAACTTGTCCCTGATTTCACTCTAGTACTCTCCTGTAAGAAAGATTCATTCTTTCTCTTCTCCTTATGAATCAAGTCAAGACTCAACAAGAATTATCCTTGCACTCCGGAACAGGAACAAAGAAAGAAGGGAGAAAGTGTTTCAAGGAAAGACGAAAGATTCATTCTTGATTTTCTCCTGAACCATATAGATTTCACTCTTTCACTCGGGTTTCACTATTGGCCGGTCTCTTCTCGAATCTTTTCTGTCCTCTCCCTATTTATCCACTGTAACTGGGAATCTTAGCTTTGTCTTTGATCTTTCTCCTTAATGAGAGTGAACTCCTAATCCTATGGATTCTTTAACGAGGTAAAGAAGTCGCTCTTTGCTTTGCTTTCAAGACTCCTTATTAATTATCCTCAACCGTAAACCTTTTCTTGAACGGAATTGTAAACACTCCTTATTCATTCGTTCTCTTCTCTTTGCTTTCCTCTCGCTGATGGATCTTCTCCTTTACGGTTTCACTGCTTCGTTCCTCTTTCTGTGTTCAACCACAAGGGAACTAGGTAAGCTGGCTGATCAGCTCATTCACTTTTTCCTATCCTTCTTTTTGGTCTCGAATTTGTTGTGTTTGCTCCTTCCCCTTATACTCTTTTATTTATTTATTCTTTTCCTGATTAAAGATGCATTCTCCTAAACATTTACAGTCGAGAAAATGAAAGAAAAATGAACTCCCAGCGAAAGAGAGACTATTTACGCTTTTTTAAAGCAGCTGAGCTCCTACACCTATTTCTTCTTTCACTGTTTCCTCGGTAAGTAAAGCAATTTGATTGCCTTTTCCTATTCTATTGGTCTCACTCCTATACCTATTTCTTCTTTCTCCTTGAACTGATTGAGGTAGGTAATCGGTAATCTTCCTTCCGTCCGTCCTGTCCTGTACTTTACTTAGTGTCTCTTCTCTTTGCTTTCCTTTGATTCAGCTGTAAAGACTGAACAAACAAATGAAAGACAAAGATCAAGTCAAAACTGAAAGAGTAGTCTTACCGCTTCTCTCCTTCACCTTCTGAAACAAGTAAAGACTGAACCGAAACTCTTTTCTTTTTTGACTCCTGTAAGGCAAAGAAGCAAGAATGATCCTTCCTTCACCTTCAAAGACTTCATTCAAACTAAGACTTCATGCGAAAGAGGAATTCTACTGAAGAGAACATATGGTCGGTCTCTCATCTGTTCTTTCCTGTCCTTTACAGTCTCCCTCTACTCCTATTAATAATCCTTGACTCTTGAGCCTATATTATTCTTTCACCACTAGGTAAACTGAGGATTGAATTGCCTCTTTTGTCCACTATTTTATGTCTCACCACTTCGTTCCTCCTCTCCCCCTTCCCTTGGTCGAGCCGCTTCGATCATTCGTTTTTATTCTGTCTCACAGCTTCGCTTATTCGCTTTATTCTGTCTCCCTGCTTCGCTCCTTATTCTTTCAAACACTTGCTCGCTCGGTAAAAATAGGTTAAAGCTTGCATCTTCTTTCCTTTACTTTAGGGTCGAGTGGCTTCCTTCGCTCCCCTTCACTACTGAAACTGATTTATCTCCTCTTCTCGTCTTGTGCTTTGCTCCTTATTACTATTTCTTCTTTCTCTTTCTCTTTTCTCTTTCCTGAGAGAGAACCTGAAACTGAAAGTCCAGACTCTTTCCTTATGCATTCTCCTGCTGAACCTTGGCCGACTTCTTTCTCTTCTCCTATTCTATAGGACTCATTGCTTGCTTCGCTTTGCTCCTCTTTCTTTATTCTTGCTTTCTCACTCGGTAACCTCAATCACTACTGAACTCATGAACCTGAACCCTATTTCTCTCTGTCTTTCCCTCGGTAAAGAAAGCGGTTGGATGCTAATCTCCTTTTCTTTGACTCTATCTACTATTACAATCAGTTCTTGTTTGTGAGTTATTCTTTCTTGAATTGTAACCAAAGACTGAAGATGAGACTGAGACAGATTGAAGGAGGTAAATAGGTGAAGTAGCTCTTTTCTTTCCTTTGTTACATGGTTGTGAGTTATTATAAGTGCTTGTGTGTGAGTTATTCTGTAACCAAAGACTGAAGATTAATTTGAGCATATTCTTTTCCTTCTTTCTCTCTCTCCTTGACCTCGTAAGGAAAGACTGAAGATTAATTCTTTCGCTTCTCCTTTCTTTCATTCACTCCTTTTCCTTTTAGAGTCGAGTCCATGAATTAGCTTACCTATTTACCTGTTACCTGATTTATTAACCTGAAGAACCTTCTTTGTAAAGCGACTGAACTGTAAGTAAAGACTGAAGATTATTTCTCCTTCCCTACTTCCTGAACCTGAACCTCTATGACCTGATGACCATATTATTCATTGAATCCTGAACTTTACAGTCGGTAAAAGAAAAGAAGAAGAAACAAGAACCTCTCCTTCCCTTATTGAACGAGGTAGGTAATTAGTAAGTCAAGCCTCAAGCAAGACAAGATATTCTATTCCTTTACATGAGAGTCAAGACTATTCATTCGAGTTGAATTCTCTCCCTACTGACTCATTCACGTTTTCCTGATTGAAGGAGGTAAAAGAAAAGAGAATGAATTGAAAGAAGAATAAAATGATGGATTCTTTCTCCTGTCTTCACCCCTGAACCGTAAACTATCTATCAGCTTTTCTCCCTACTCATTCTGCTGAACCTAACTCAAGATGAATTAGACTTATTTCATTCACCTTTACAGTCGGTAAAGCATACATATTCTTTCTACTGAACCTGATTGTCACTTTGTCTGCGTCTTCTTCCTTTGACTCTATGCTATTATTTGTTACCTGACCTACACCTATTCTATTGGGCTCACTCCGGCTCCTACTTATTTTTTCATTCAATCCCTTTAGATGAGAGTAAATTCATGAATCAGAGAATTCAAGATTAATGATCCTTCCCTATTTCACCTGAGCCTTTTCCTCTACTTTAATCAGCTTCTGCCGCCTTCCCTTATCAGCTTCTGCCTTTTCCCTTCCTTCTTACTCAACAAATGATGCTTTTCTGACTCTCATCTACGTAAGAGTAATTGGTTTGCCCCTAGAAAGAAGATGACCGTGAGTTCTTTCTTTCTCTTCTGATTATACTTCTATCTTCATTACCTTTTTGTTCTTCTCTTCTTTTGAATATGAATGTAAGAGCTTATTCTCTAAGCCAAGCGCGAATTGACTTGACTCTGTCTGAGTCTTCTTCCTTTCCCTCTTCTCGGTAACCCTTATCAGTCAAAGAAAAATAGGAAGTGTTTGACACGAGAGCTCCAGAACCGTAACCTCTATGCCCTGACCCTATGTTACCTTATGAATGAAAGAAGGCAATGGGTGAAACCGACAGGTGAAGGGAGGGGAGAAGAAAGAGAGTTTATAGTGAAAGAGAAAGAAGGGAGATGAAAGATTAAAGAGAGTTTACAGTCGTTGTTTAAATAAATGAATGAGTTAGCTGCTTTGAAAGACTCAACCTCAAACCTTTGACTATCCTAGTTTACAGTGAAAGAATAAATAGGAATAGGAAAAGGAGCTGCAATTCTCCTTCACCGATATGAGCTGAGCTACTTCACCTGAACCTCAATCACCTATCCAGTCAGTCGAGTAAAGAAAAGAAAGATGGAAGAAGACGAAGATAAGATTCCTTCACTAGATGGAACAGGGTAAACAGGACTGTATTCTTCTTTGACTCTATTCCCTGCCCGGAACCTTTACAGAAAGAGAATAGGGAGAATCTCAACATTAATAAGACTGAACCTAACAGTCTTTGATTGAAGAAGAGAAAGGAAAGACGGAAGAAGAATTAGACAGAACTACGGAACAGTCAGTCAAGACTTAAGATGAATTATCCTGCACTCTTCTTTTTTAGGTCATTGAAGGAGGTAAAGCATATGAAATGAATTTACTCGCCCTGATGAACCTTTACATGAGAGGAAATGAAAGCGAAAGAAAACTAGTACAACTCCGGAACCTTATACTCTCTATCTATTACCTGACCTGATTCAACGAGGTAAAAGAAAAAGAGAAAGACTCCACTCTAGATTCATTCAACTTTACCTTTATCAAAGAATAAGAAAAAAGAGACGGAATTCCCATGAACCTTCTGGAACTGTAAACAAAGACAAACTCAAGCGAAACCCAGGACTATTCTTCAAACACGAGGTAAATAGGCGGGCTAGGCTAGGCTGGCTGGAGGATTCTTATTGAACGAGGTAAAACAGCTAATGAGTTTACTCTCCCTGAACAGTAGAAGAAAGATGAATTCGATTCAACCTTCAACCTTTTCCTGATGGACCAGTAAGAGAAGAAGAGGGTCAAACTCATGAACTACTGAACCGGAAAGTGTTTCAATTCAAGTAAAGACTCTTGTCTGTCCCTATTTATTCTTTCATTTCACTCTTGAACATAGGCTGGATGATAGATAAGAACCTTCAATCCATCCTTCTTGCTTTCACTCCTTACCCGATATTACCTGACCTTGCCGAGCTAGCTTTCTTTTATTCCCTGAATTTCCGGAGGTAAGTAAATGGGTTGGTTCAGTAGCTAATTCATTTCCTCTCTCTTTTACAGTTCAATCAGGGAGAGAGAGTCAGTCAGAAAAGAAAGAATGTATTTGTTTGTCTCGAGCTTCAAACACTAGGTAAAGCAGCTGGCTGAGATTACCTTCTTTTACTGGGGTTGAACTATGATTGAACAGAGGAAAGCATATTCTTGATCCTTCACCTGACGAGTCAGTAAAAGGGATGAATGAGACTGAAGAGTCAGGAAAGAAAAGAGAATTGATTGAACGAGAGGGTTGAACTATTCTTTCTCTTCTCTTGCTTGCTTAAACTCTTTGACGATATTCCCTTTCTTGTTCATTTACTTACTCTCCCTGAATAGTAAAAGATCAATACTCTCGATGAATTAATTATCCTTAACTACTGAACGAACCTTCTTTCTCTCATATTCTTTCACTCATTGTAAACAAAACAAGGTGGTTGGCTGGCTTCTCTCCTTTTCTTCCTATTTATTCACTGTAACCGAAGAAAGACTCAACTCCTTATTTTATTCATTAGACAAATTGAACTCGTAAACTATCAGCTTTTTTTAGGGGAGGAAGAGCAGACAACCCATTCTTCTCGTAAACTACCAGCTTCTCTCCAGACCCTACCCCTCTATTCCCTGAACTTTACAGTTCAAGAATCAAGGGAGAATCAGATATTCCTTTCTTTCTTTACATGCGAGTCAATGAATATTCAATCCTGTAGAATCAACTGAAAGAGAAGCAAGCTCATGAACCTGAACCTTCTTTCTTTCACTCTCTTACAAGGTAAGTAAAGGGGCTGGATGAGAACCCTAGATGCTGTCGGAGTAAAGGATAAAGTGTTTCAAGACTCCTTATTAATGAGAGTGAACTCCGTAACCAGTAAGTAAGAAAATGAGGAAGGTTAGTGGTTGACACTTTGCGCTCCTGAACCTACCTGTCTCATTGCTTCTTTCTTGCTTGCTTTCACTCCTGAACCTACCTTCCCTGATTGAACCTATTGTATTGATTCTTTCTCCTTCACCTATTCTATTGGTCTCCCAACTGAGATTACCTGATTTTTCGGGTCTCACAAGCACTAAGCCAGTTCTTTGCCCCCCGACCGTCAGCAGCTGGGTTTCCCCCCAGATTAGATTCCAGATAAAGAAGATGAGAGTAACCCTGGGACTTCTTTCACTGACTTGTAAGAAAAGAAGAAGAAAGAAACCTTTTCCTCGGCTTGGCTCCTGAACCTGTCGGTCTGACTGCTTGCTTCGCTGCTGAACCGTAACCTATTCATAATCTTTCATCCTTGCTTGATTCTCAAAAGAAAGATGAATGAGAGTTTACCTTTATAAAGAATAAGGAGAAAGACGAAAGCAAGATTCATATGAGACTTAACTTCTTTCCTTTACCTATTTACCGAGACGAAAGATAGACAAGAAGAAGAAACCTTAAACCAGACCCTTGGAAGGAAGAAAGCAAGACAAGATTCATTCAATCCTGAACCGATATTCCCTCCCTGACCGGAATCGCGTAAACTCATCTTCTTCCTTCCCTCATATTACCTGCCCGGAACAACATTTTACATTACAGAAGGTTCTCAAGCTTTAGCTATTCGAGAAGAACAACAACAACATTTACATTACAGAAAGGTCAAGTTACTAACTTCTAGAAGACAACAAACAACAAGAACTACATTTACAAGCAAGAAACTCAAGCTAACCTAACGTGACAAACAACAACATGAATTACATACTCCTGAAAGGGCAAGCTAAACTCTAATCCATAGAAATAAAGAGAAACAACAAGAACAAGAAAACTAACACTAACAGGAATTACAAGCAAACTAGGTAAAGCTAAACCTTATTACAAATAGAAATACAATAAAGAATATTGATATCTCTCCCCCCTTGACCACTTACTCTATTTCTCGGTATTTCTATTTGATTGAAAAAATACTAAATTGATTAATTAGAGTTTTCACTGTCAGACTAAAGCCAAAGAGTTTACGGTGTTTGAATAACTAGTCAAAGTAACTGCATAAGAGTAACGAACCTATAGTGTCTCAAGACTCAAGAGAAAGGCTTAAGCCAAGGTGTGTTCACTCTTTCTTTCTTTCCCCTGTCCCGTAACCTGATTGACTTTGTATTCTTTGCTTTAACTGTTCCAAGTATTCATTCCTTAAAGCTTGGGCTTGGTATTTGTTATTCTTTCTTCTCTGTCTGGTTGCTTGCACCTTAGCTTTGGTTTTGTCTCCTTAACTACTTCCTTCACCGTCTTTCCTCTCTGGCCATGACCTATTTCTTCATAGATGTAGGACTTAACTAACTACTCTCTCTCCTTATTGGTCTCTTTTCAATCACTTGTCGGGGTAAAAGGCAAAGAAAAGGATTTCTACTTTCAAGACTGAAGAGTAAGCGCGTAAACTAAGACTGAATCATTAGACTCAACAATTCTTTCCTTTGTCCCTTCTTGAACTGTAAGAGAAGAAGAGGGTCAAGCTACTACTCTCTATTAGTGGAACCTTTACACCAAGGCTTTAGCTATTCGAGAACAAGAGAAAGCTGTCTTCTGGTCTCTTGCCTTGCTTGTACCGTATTTCTGTTCTTCTTCAATCCTGAGGCTCTACAATGAGCTCTCATTGGTTCTTTCAACTGACACTGAAGAGATGAAGTGAAGCTAAGCTGATTTGATTCATTCTGCTATCCTTTCACAAGTAAAGACTCTATACTCCTTGATTGATGAATTCTCCTTAACTTTTTTACCTGACCTGGAACCACTAAAAGAAGTGTCTTCATTCCGAGTCCTAGTTAGTGTTCACTTCTATACCTATCTTTTGCTTATTCTTATTCCTAGTAGAGACTAAAAGGTAAAGGTAAAGATTAATCAGACTTGACAGGAAAGCTACTTACTCTCTCTCATGATTGAGAAGAAGGTAAAGAAAGACTACTTGATCTGCTGCTCCTCTTGACCCTCTCCTTTGTAGCTCTTCTTCTCCCCTCTCTAACTACAACAAGGGTAACTACAACAAACAGGGATTGAACTAACTCCTTCACGGGTATTACCCTCGCTACTTCACTCATTCAATCTGAAAGAAAGCTTTTACCTAACCTACTTCACTCATTCAATCCAAAAGTTCTATTCCATTGCTGGAACCTTAATAAGACTCTGTCTATGATATTACCTTCTAGTATATTGTTACCTCCTTTCTATTAACCTGAGTGAGAGTATATTTTATTGTTGTTACTTTATGAGTATATTGTTGTTACCTTTCTAGTACTTGAGAGTATATTGTTGTTACCCTTCTAGTATATTGTTGTTACCTTTTGAGTATATTGTTACCTTTCTAGTATATTGTTGTTACCTTTCGAGTATATTGAACAACAAAATAAAGAATGACTAAAGCTTTACCTTAAACCTAAAGAACAAGTAAAGACTAACAAGCTAGAGAGTGAGTTTATAGTCTTTGTTTGAATAAAAGGAAATTGGTTACAAGCTATCCTTTCTTCTCTTCATCATTAATTAACTCGCATATTCAATAATACTTGCTATGCTTTCTTTACAGTCTTTGTAAAGTAGACTAAGAATGAAACGGATTGAACTCTGTAAATGTAATAGGTGTTTGTTTTCGAACTTAACTACTGAACCAACAAGTAAAGACTAAAGCAAGAGAAGATTCAATCACCTGTAAGTTCTTTACGGTTAAAGAATAGTTTTAGGAAGAGGAAGGACTCAACCAACCAACTACTTATTCATTCAATCCTCAAGCAAGACAAGAAGAAAGAAGGAGGCAGGCAGACTAAAGAACCATTAATTCATTCCCCTTTACTCGGTAGGTAAATAGAAGAATAGTTTACGGCGGGAAGTAGGTAATACGGATACTTCAAGTCAAGACTAAAGAAAGCCAGCCAGAGAGTTGACTGTGTTTGAATAACTAGTAAAAGTAACTGCCTGCATTAAGAGTAACCTATAGTGTTTCAAAACTCTCCCTCAAGCTCCTACTCATTGAATGAGCATGAACTCACTCTTTCCCCTGCCCTTTCTGATTGACTTTATACTCTTTTCACTGTGAAAGTATTCTGCTGCTATGTTTCCTCTTCTTTTCTTTCTTCTCTGTCTATCTGCTTCTTCGCGCCTTAGCTTTGGTTTTGTCTCCTGAACTACTCTTCCTTTACCTTCCCTTCTTTCCTCTGCTCCCTTCTTTGCAAGGGTTTAACTATTCTTTCACTCACAGTAAGATCAATCATTCTCGTTCATTCCGTAACGTAACCTATTTCTTCATTCGACTTAACTAACTAACTACTCTTTGCTAGACTGAACTACTCTTTCTCCTAACTACTCTCTCTAGACTAAACAACTCTCTTTATTGGTTTCTTTCTTTTCTCTTTTCAATTATACTACTCGTCGATAAAAGGTAAAGAAATGTATATAGAATGTGTGCGGTTGGCTTCTTTCTTCTGCTTTCAAGACTGAAGAGTTTACGAACTTCACTCACCTTCACTCAACTCACTGTAAAGACTTCAACATGAATTATCCTTTCCTTCTTTCATCTATTCTCTATTGGTAAAGCAGCTAATTCATTTGCTTGCTCTCCCTGTAAAGACTAAACTCAAGAGGATATTAGGATTGTCGGAAGTCAATACTCCAACCTCTATTAGCTTAACCTCTCTAACAAGGCTTTATCTATTCTCGAACAAGAGAAAATAGTTTGAAGGTCTCTTTACCCATATTTCTGTTCTTCTTCAATCCTGAGCGTCTAAAGCAGGGTCTCATGGTTTCTTTCTCCTTAGCTGGAAGTCAAGGTAAGCTCATTCACCTAATCTATTTCTTTCTTCTTTCTCCGTAACTACTTCTTCACCTGCTGCCACCCCGTACGTAACCTCTGGACCAAGTGTCTTCGCTCCTCTTCTCATTCTCCTCAGCTACTGAACTCCGTCGTAACCTATCTTTTGGCTTATTCTTATTCCTTTCTTTACAGTAGAGACTCAAAGTCAAGATTAATCATACTTGCCGGGAGATTTACCTACTTACTCTCGAACCTAATTGGAAAAGGTATGTAACGACTACTTATTCTTGATCTGCTCCTGCCCGCCTCTCTCCTTTACAGTCGAGCCGCTTCACCCCTTCCCCTTTATTTCTTAATTAACCTTCCCTAAACTTATAGATTAGATTCTTTCACTGATTCCCTATCGGGAGAGTTGCTGCGCTTCGCTCCTCTTTCCTTAAAGGCATTACTTACTAGCGAGTCAATGAATGAAATCTGGGAGACAAGAGAAAGACTCTTTCACTCTTTATCCTTCTCCTATTAAACGGTAAAACTGCTTCGGTCAATCACCCACCTCTGTCCTTATACATAAATCCATTCAATCCCTTCCCTTCTTATTCTTGAACCTATTCATTGTCAGAAGACTCACAACCACGTAACAAAGCTGCTTCGCCTCGCGGTCTCGTTGCTTGGGGCCTCTCCTCTTCTTGTTTTCGTTGCTTTGCTCAATCACTACTTCTCTTCCCCGGAATCGATATGACCCGAGCTACTTCCTTCACTCAAGCTACGGAAGTCAAGCCGAAACCCTTCGCTCCTTATACTAACTCTATTCCTTTACTGTCGAGGAAATCAAATAGATAGTGAAATCGGACACCTTCTTTCACTCATTCCCCTGAACCGGACTCTATGACCTGATCTACTTCTCCTTTTTTACCAGTGTTTGAAATAGTAAATTAATTCAATCAGGAAGGAACCTTCCCCTCGGCCGGCTTCTTTCTCCTGCCCATGAACCGATATGAGATAGCGAAAGAAAGGAGAATCATATCTCGTTTACCTAGCAACCGAGTAGGATGAATCTTTCTTCTTCAAGGAATAGGAAGGAGCCAACCAAGCTGCTGCTCGACCAGAAAGTAACAGAAGATGCAAGCTTTAACTAACCCATTTATTACCGAAAGGGCAAAGAAGAAAGAGTATAAGGTTCAGTCAGCCCCATACTCCTCTTCCATCCTTTCATTTGTTTACAGGCAAGTAAAATAGTTCATTCAAGAATCAGACTCCTATACTCTTGTTTACCAAGTTCAATCAGGTCAAGGAATCTTAAGTCTCTTTGGTTACAGAACCATACAGGCAATAGCGATCGGAAAAGAGAAATCAATAAGTTAAGTAGTCAGAGGGAGGAGAGGACAAAGATCAGCAGTGCACTCTCAGTCACAAGGAGTTCAGTCTTAAAAGCAAGCAGAATATACAAACGACAAAGCAAAGAACAGAGAAAGAGAAAGAAAGAGTTTCACCCTTCAGCTGTAGAGTCAATAATTAATTAGCAGCTTTCTTTACCAGAGAGAGAGTAAAAGAAAGAGTGAAATAGCAGTCAGAAGAGAGGGGCAGTTCAGTCTTGACTTACTGGCTAAGTCTGAGTGAATGGTGAAGAGGTTCATACTATCCATTTATTACCAAGGGGTTGAACGGACAAACAAGTCATTGAGTTAAGGAGAAAGACTATACTACTATCCCATTTACCTTCAGTAAAGAAAAGAGAAAGAAGAAAGAGACCAATAGCTGAATCACTTAAATCAGTTTCGGGTAATTAAATTGTGAGACGAGAAGAGGTTAATGAGTAAGTCAAGTAGTAGGTTAAGGAGAATAGCGAAAAGAAGACAGACAAGAAGATCAGAGGAGTTACAACGGGTTCAGGGTAAGGAGCTAGGCCTTCCTTCTTCAATAGGTGAAGAAAAGAAACCAGAAAGAGGATAGGTTCAGGTTCAGGAGCAGATCTTTCTTTCGTCCCTCTCATTAATCCAGAGTTTAGTCTTTGTTTACAGGAGGAGAGGCAAAGAGTGAAGATCAGAGAAAGAGAGTAAAAAAGGGGGGCAGGAGCTAATCATCCAATCCAGCCTATTTCCTTTCCCTTGCTTGTTCCAAAGTGTAAAGAAGGGAGGGAATCAAAGCCTATTTACCTCGTTCAGAGACTAGTGATTGAGTTAAGAGAGTAGTGAATGAATCATCCTATAGTTTACCCAGTGAAAGAATAGTGAAGAGTGAAAGAGTGAGAAAGCAAGTAAGAAAGCCAGCAAGCAAAGCAAGCAGCCAAGGCAGTTAGTTAGTTAAGCCAGCAAGCAAGTAGGAAAGGAAAGAGAGAAAGAAAGAAGAGAAGAGCAGTTACGTTACGCTAGAGCAGTTAAGCCGAAGCAGAACAGTTAAGCCGGAGCAGACAGAAAGAACGAACAGTTACGTTACGCCGGAACAGTTAAGTTTGTTTGTTTGATTGATTCTAAGCACTATGAAGCAGCCAGACTGTAAAGAAAGAAAGAAAGGTTAGCTTGACTTCCCTCCGAAGGTCATAGAGTCAAAGAAAGTAAAAAAAGGGGTCGGGCAGGCGTAGGTTCAGTTCAGTCTTTCAAAGCAAGCTGCAGCTAACTCCTTGATTCTAGAACGAACAGTAAAGGAAGGATATAATTCATCTTTAGTTGAGTCTTACTCAGAGGGAAGTAATAAATAACGTATAGTGTGAAAGGAGTTTGTTTGACTTGACTTAATGATCAGTTTACCTCGGGAAAGAATCAATAGGTTCAGTAGGTCAGCAGAAGGAATAAGGAATAAGGAGTTTGTTTGACTTAATGATCAGTTTACCTAGGGAAAGAATCAATAGGTTCGGAGAAAGAATAAGGAATAAAGAGTTTCCCTTGTTTAAGGAATAAGGAGTTTCCCTAATTTAAGAAATAAAGAGTTTCCCTTATTTACAGTTAAAGAATAGAATAATAACTCACACAATAACAAGAATTAAGTCAGTAAGAGTAGTAAGAGTAAGAGTCATTCAGGTAGGCAGGAGAAAGATTAGAGACAGAGCTAGCTAAGATTCTCCTTCCCAGCCAGTTTACAGTTACAGCTAGCAGGTAAAGAACAAGAAGAGTAGAGTAGTTCAACCCGAGCGAGGGGACAGTTCCTTCCATCAAACACCTTTCTTTTACCTCAGAGAGGTCTGGAAGTAGTGATTGGATTGAGAGTAGTGATTGGATTGAGTTACAGAGTGATTAAATAGTGGAATCAGGAAAAGGAGTGAGTTAATCTTCCTTTAAGTAAGGAGTGAGCTAATCTTCCTTTCAGTTGAGAATAAGAAAGAGAGAAATAGGAAAAGGAAAAGAAAAGGAGTCAAGCCTCTCAATAGGGAGAGGAGTCAAAGTCAGGTTCGTCACTTTACCACCTTCCTTGTAAAAGAGTGAAATTAGGAGGAGCTTGAGAGAGAGTAGAGAGTCTCCCCTCTTTCAAACAAAGACTGTAAACTCAGATAGGATAGTCAATCGTTCGGTAAAGGAGAAGGAAGAAAGATAAAGGAGTAGAGTTCGAGTAGTTCAGGAGCAGGAGAAAGAGAAGGAGAAAGAGCAGGAGTTCCGGTCGTTCAGTTTCATCTTTAGGCTTTCGAACAGTAAAGTAAAGAAAAGAAAGAAAGGCTATTAGGATAGGTTAGGTTACGTACAGAGTGCAAGGAGAATAAATGAATGGCATGTTGCTCTCTCTTTTCTAAAGAAAGGTTACGAAGTTCTTGATAATGAAGAGAATATGCGAGAACGTGCCAAGGCAAGCAAAGAGTGAAATCAGGAAGTCAAACAAAGGGGAAAGGGGAATGAGGTTACAAGAGAGTCCAGTCAAGTCCATTAGAAGAATACATAGGGAGAGCAGTCAAAGAAGGCAGGCAGGCAGGCAGGCAGGCAGTAGAGAATGCATCTTTCTTACAGTTACAGGCAGGAGAGGAAAAGAAAGGGGCCAAGCAAGCCACTTTAACGAGTTGGAGAGAGAGAAGAGAGGGGCAAAGCAAGCAAAGCAAGCAAGCAAGCAACTCCACTAGAAGAAGGAGGAGTATTTCTCTTTTTCTTTGTCAAATCAGGTCATAGAGGGTCAAGGCAGAGAGAGGCAGGTTCAGTAGTTAAGGTAAGGAGAATGAATCGGAAGCTGGCTGAAGGGTCAGTAGCGATTGATTGAGGTTACACAGTGAGTGTGAAGGAGTCTTTGCTTGAATAAATAGAAATAGGGCAGGGCAAGCAAGGAGCAAAGTAATGAGACCAGAAAGAATAGGTAAGGTAGGCGAATGAATGAGTTCGGGAAGGTTCAGGTTAATCAGTCATAGTCCTGTTAAACTTGAATGAATAAAGGAGTGTTTCGGCTTTCTTTCCCTTGTTTACAGGAGAGGACATGAATTAGCTGCAGCGGCTTGGCTTTATCTCGGGAAATGATCTCTTTAATAGGGAGAGGTGAACAAGTGAATGATTTCCGTTCCGTCACTCTCTTTCGGCTTAGTTTACAAGTCAAGAAAGGAGAAGAAAGAGAAGCCAAGGTTCAGAGCAAGGAGAAAGAATACATCCATAGGTGTTCAGGCAGGGAGAGTAGTAAATGAGTTCAATCAAGGATCCAGCAAGAGAAGAACAAAGAAGAAATAGAGTTGGTAGGAGCAGAGAAGCCAGACAAGACAGACCCTTTACCAAGTCTTTTCAGGGAGAGGCAGCAATGAGAGAGACAGACCTTCTTCAATCAATCAGAAGGGAATGAGTAAGTAGACAAGGCAGCAGACAGAGGGAGGAGTTACATCAGGTTAAGGAAAGGAGTGAAAGCAAGCAAGAAAAGAAAAGAAGGTTACGTACGGGGAAGAAGAGAGAGAATGAATGAATAAGGTAACGTAAGTAACATAGAGAGAGAATGAATAAGGTAACCTAACATAGGTAGGGTCCGGGTCAGGCAGGGAGAGTCTTTCTTATAGGAGGGAGGAGAGTAACAGAGTGAAATCAGTCCAATGCAGGGTTATACTCTAATCTTCTTTATCTAGGCAAAGACTGAAACTTAGTCCTTGTGAGACCAACCAATAGAATAGGTTACGGTGCCGGAGCTTGACCTTCTTCTCATCCAGCCTATGTAATTACCTCTGAATGAAATGACCTCTTTAATAGGGAATAGAGTAAAAGGTTGAGTCGAATGAATAAGGAAAGGAGTATCTCTCGTTGATAGTTCCATCAGGCAGGGAATAAAACAAAGAAGAAAGAAAGCTAGGCTAGCTCGGCAAGGTCAGTCAGGTAATATCCGGTCAGGGGCAGGCAATGGAATCTAGAGGAAAAGGAGAGGAGTGAAGTTAAGGAGAATTAATAGGTGAAGAAGTAGTTCAGTAGTTCAGCAGTCTGTCTCATTCAAGAATAAAGAGTAGGGAAGCTGCGAGAAGATTCTTTCCTTTCTCTTTGGCTTTTACCTTGTTCAAGAAGGGCTGCAGGGATACGAGAATATTCTTTGTATAGGGAAGTTTACCTCGTTCAATCAAAGAGCTACTTCATATGCTTTTGCTTTACCTTGTCTTTGAAGGAATAAATAGTAGTAGGGACAGACAAGTGAGTGAGCTTGATCGAGTTCAATCTGGGAGTTCAGTCTCTCCCATTCATCTTCTGTATTTGGTTACAGTTCGTCAAGTGAGTTCAGGATAATGCATTAATAATAGGAGTAAGTAGCGAGAGTAGAAGGATTAGTTAAAGAAAAGAATCCATAGATATGTTCACAGAGTAAATTCATTGAATACACTTTACCGAGAGTTACATCAGGGGATAAAACAAAGCAAAGCTAGCACAACAATGAGACAGACAGACCAGACCAATAGGAAGGAGAAGGAAAGGAGATTCTCAGCCAGCCCAGCCCCCTTACCTTGCTTGGAAAGAGTGAAAGAAAAGAAATAGGAAAGAAAAGGATTGAATATCCGAGTTCAGGAGTTTACAGTTCACAATCCGGTTCAGTAGCTCAGATGATATCATATCGGGTCAGGGGCAGGCAGGGGTTCCCTTGAGTCTTGACTTCCTCTTCAGGAGAATTAAAAGGAGAGAGTACATTCATTTCATTAGCAGCAGGCATCAGATGGCTTTACCTAGTAAAAAGAATAAATAGGCAGCAAGTAGAGGGAGAGAGAGGAGGAGTTCAACAGTAGAGTAGCAGTGAGACCGAGAGGAGTTAGGTAGGGGGAAAGGAGTTAGGCAGGGACAGGAGTTTACAGTGAAAGAATCAATCCATAGGTGAAAGAAAAGAGCTACTGAACCTATTTACCTCGGTTACTGTTCAATCAGGTTAGGTCATATCGGAAAAGCTGATCATAATTTCTTTAGAGTTCCATAAGGGTAAGGAAAGCAAGAGAGAAAGAAGAGACAGACAAACCGGAAAGAAAGGACAGGACGGAAGATGTAACCTAGTTATCGGACCGAGTCTTTGAATGAAGGAAAAGGTTCAGCCAATGCAATTGGTCAACCAACCCGAGTGAAAGAAGAATAGAATCCTCAGCAACTTTATCGAGAAAAGAAGTCATAGTCTAGGAGCGAAGACAAAGACAGACAGACTGTTTGAAGGGACGTGATAGGCAATGGAAGTGGGGACAGGTTCTATGAGTTTACAAGAGAGTACATTCAATCCTAAGCTTCTTTACCGAGGTCAAGAAGGAAGGAGTGAATGAGTTACAGTTACCCAACTCTTAATTAAGTCTTTCTTCGATTACTGGTAAAGAAGAGAAAGAAAAGAAAAGAGAACAGACCCAAAATAAATAACTGAAAAGGAAGAGGAAAGGCGAGAAGCAAGCAGGAAGCTGTGAGACAAAGGAGAGAGAGGCCCGAAGCAGTGAGTGAGACAGACAGACCTTATTTACTAGGAAAGAAGAGACAGGCAAGGCAGGCAATATCGGTAAAGTGAACGGGAAGGAGCAAAGAGAACAGACCTAGTTCCCTCTGAATTACCTCGTTTAATCAGGGTAAGGTTCAGGAATAAGCAGTCTTGACTTCCTGCTCAGTCGAATGAATCTTATAGGAGAGAGAGGAAGGACATTAGCTTACTTAGCCGCTTTACCGAGTAAAAGAAGGTTACAGGGAAGGGGAGAGAAGACATAGATAGTTCAACCCCAGTTAGAGAGGAAAAGGGGAGTTCCAGAAGAGAAGGGTCCCGTTCAGGTTTGTCAAATAGCGTTTTATCCAGTAAAAGAGTTAAAGAAGAGAGATAAGTTGAAGGAGTGAACTCTTAGTCTTGTTTTGCCTTTCTTCGGTGGAGAGGGAGTCCATTAATTAGCTAATGAACCCACTTGAGAAGAGAAGCTAGTCCAGTCCCCAGCCAGAAAGAAAGAAAAGGAGAATGCCTCTAAGTAGAGTAGTTCTTTCTCTTTGACAGTTCAGGCAGAGGAAAAGGAATGAAATCAAGTTACGGTTCAGGTTCTTCATTCAAATAGCTTTCCCGAGTAAAAGAGTGAAAGAAGGAAAAGGAGCGGAGCAACTTGAACAATACAATAAAATCAAGAAGGAGCAAAGCAGACTGATAGTTGAAGAGCTGAAGGAGAAGGGAATGAATCTTTTCTTTTGGCTTTCTCTTTGACAGTTTAGGAAGGGGAAGGAGCAAAGGACCTACAGAAAGAATAAATAGGAGAATGAGTCTTTCTTATAGGGCCAGGCAGGAGAGTGAAGAAAGAAAGGAGGAAAGAACACCTATTACCAATTACCGACGGAAAGAGTGAAATCAGGCAGAGGTTAACAATCACTTCCTCAGAATAAGAAACACTAACGGAACAAGCGGTTAGTCGAATTCATCCTTCTTGCTTGAGTCTAGGAGAGTGAAGAAAGAAAGGAGAAAGAGTTGGTCCAGAATAAATAGGTTCAGTAGTTTACAGTTCAAGAAGGGAGAGGTGAATGAGCTTGCTTGACCTTTTAGCTAGCTGCTTTACCTAGTTCAAGAGTGAAATCAGTCCCATGAATCCTTGTTACAGGAGGGAGAGGAAAAGAGTCTTTGAAGGCCAGGCCAATGCAGGGTTACCATCATCTTCTCTTCTTTATCTGGGCTAATAACTGACACTTAAACTTAGTGTTGTCTGTGAGACCAATACAATAAAATAAGGGAATCCCACCGATTTCCCGAGTTCAAGAGTGAAAGAAGGAGAAGGGTTAAGTAAGGGGTAGTAGTTAAGGATAATGCATCTTGAGTCTTTTGTTTACTGGTCAGGGAGAGTCAAGTCATTTCATATGCTTTTTCTTGAGTTCAAGACTGTGTTAAAGAAAGAAATGGGGTCCAGGATACCGACTGAAATAAGGGAAGGGCAGGGGAGAGAGGTTCATTTCAGTTCAGTAGCTCATGGAATAGAGTCACAAATCCAATAAATGGTCCTGTCCTATCCTAAAGAGAGAGTAAAAGAGTAAGATCAATAGGAGAAGGGGAGAGCATCTTTAGTCTTGACTTTCAGTTGAAGGAAGGAGCTTGACCTTGTTCAATACCGTCAAATAGCTTTACTGAGTGAAAGAATGAATCTTTAGTCTCCCTTGAACTGTAAAGTCGAATTAATCAGGAGTTGAGGATTGAAAAGCTGCTAAGGAGAAAGAATAAAAGGAGTGTTTGAGTTCAAGCAAGCCAGTAAAGGAGAAAGGCTTTACCCTATATTTGAAGGAAGAAATAGGGACAAGTGAGTGAAGGAGAATGAATAAAAGGAGTGAAAGCAAGCAAGAAAGCCAGCAAGAAAGCCAGCCTATTCCGGTTCAGTGACTGGTAAAGTAGTGAAGGGAATAGAGGAAAAGGAGCATGACTCTTTCGTTGAGTCTTTAACAACTTACCTAGTTCAACCCTCTTCAATAGCAATAACCCTCTAAATAACCCGTAAAATAGACCGAGGATAACATTAATTAATAAATGGTACTAAAGAGTGAAATCAGGTTCAGGGGCAGTTCAGTCTCATGAATCGAGAGTTGAGGATTGGCTGACTGCTCAGGATCTAGAATAAAAGGAGTGAAAGCAAGCAAGAAAGCCAGCCCAGCCTATTCCGTAAACTCTAATGAGTCTTTAGTTGAGGAGAAAGGATCAGATCAAGAATGAAGGCAATAGATAGCGTAGCGAGCGGGTCAGGAGTGAAAGCAAGCAAGAAAGCCAGCCTTCCAGTTCCGGTTCAAGGGCAGGAGAAAGAAGCCAGCCAGATTAGTCTTTTCTTCTTCTTCTTCTTATTCTTTAACTCAAAAAATAGAGAGAAGATAGAATTAATTAATGAATGGTACTTACACGAAAAAGAGAATGAATCAGGAGTTTAGTCTTCCTGTTAAGGATAACGAATAAAATGAGTGAAAGCCAGCCTTCCAGTTCCAATTGAGGTTCAGGTTAATCAATAATAGTCCTGTTAAACTCTAATTCTTCTTTCTTGAGTCTTTCCTTCTTGGTCTGGTTCAGTAGCGAAGGGGTAGACAATGGAATAGCTTGACCTGCTCTTTCTTCTCTTCGTTTACAGTTCCTTCATCAATAGGTTAAAGAAGGGAACAAGGAGTTAAGGAGAAAGAATCATTGAGTCTTAGTTTACGTTTACTCTGAAAGAAGGAAAAGAAAGGAGAATGCAGAGAGAGGCCGGCCAGCCAGTTTACCCTGCCTGTTCATCAGTTTAGGTCATAGAGTCAAACAAAGGTGAATGAGCTAAAAGAAAAGCACACCAACATCATACTAATCCAAGCTAGCCTAGTTGGAGTGGTGAAGGAAATAGAATTGCTTTACCGAGATGAGAGGTTAAGGGCAAGGAGCGAAGGGTGAAGGGGAAGAAGTCATAGTCCAGCCAAGCCAGGGCCAGGCCAGCAGTTCCAATTAATCTACTTAATCTACATTAGAGAGTAAATGTAAATGAATTAGCTGCAGCAGCGGTCGACAGGACAAGTTCAGCAGCGAAGGAGCGAACCAGCTTTACCGACAGGGGAAGGAGTCCACAAAATAGGTTCATCAGTCTCTTTCCTCTCCCGGACTTCCTTGTGTCGCTTCAGCCAGGTAATATTAGAAAAGGGGCCAGGCCAAGCAGCGAGATGAGGAGTGAAAGAAGGTAAGTTCTAGTCAGTCAGTCAGGGAGAATACAGGAAAAGGTTACAGAGCTCAATCAGTAGGAGTAGGAGTAGGAGTAGGAGTAGAGTCTTTCCTTCCAGAGAGAGTTTCGACTCATTCATCTTTCTTCTTCTTTTTTTTCCCTGAACTATAAATAAAGGAGAAGTAGCTCCGGGAATAAGGTTACAGAAGAAGACGAGTTAGTTGGAGAGAGAGAGGCAGGAAATGGAATTGTTTTAACGAGTTGTAGAGGTGAAGGAGAATGAATGAATAGGCTTTAACAAGCTTACGAGGTTCAGGGTCAGTTAGGTCATATCGATTCAGGGAAGGTAATAGAGAAGAGAGAGGTATCAGTAGTTCTGTCTCATTCATCGGAAGGTAAATAGGTAATGGCTCAGCAGTTTAAGCAAGAAGGTTAATGAGGTTACTGTTCATAAATAGGTTCGGGGGAAGGAGCAAAGCTTTCTTTCATTTTCAGAGTGTCTTTCAAAGCTGCTAAGGAGTTCCAGAAGAGAAGGGACAGAAGTCATAGTCCAGCCAGGAGTGAACGTGAACTCGAATGAATAACCTAAATAGGTAAGTAAAGAAAGAAAGGAGCCAAGCCACTTTACAGTTCCATCTGGGTTAGGAAGAGAAGAAAGAGACCTACAGAAAGAAAGGAAATAAGTAATGGTTCAGTAGTTAAGGAGCGAACTAGCCAGCTCGACCCAGAGGTTAAGAAGTTCAATCAGGTTACGGTGAAGGAGAAAACAGACAGAAAGAAGGGAATGAGACCAATAGAATAGGTGAATGAGCTTGACCTTACACTCAGCCGCCATACAGCCAGCCTATGTTACCCAGTCAAAGAAAGAAAGCAAGAAAGAAAGAATCAATAGGCGCGAAGCAACGAGACACAGAGGCAGAGGAGCCAAGCCCAGGAAAAGGTTGATTCTTCTTATTGTTCCATCTGGTAAAGGAGTATTGATTTAATAGGAAGGAGTATTCCTCTTTTACTCTTTAATCAGGTTTAGTAGTTCAGGCAATAGAGTAGAGGTTGAGTCTTGAAAAGCAAGCAGCTAATCTAATTAATGCATTTACTCGACTGGAAAGCTGCTAACTCCTTCATTTATTCTGGTTTCGACTTGACTGACTTCCTGTCCCTGAATTTCTTCCTTACGGTTACTATTCATTCGCTTCTCTTTCTTTCCTTCCCGCTCAGGAGTATTGATTTAATAGGAAGGAGTATTTCTCTTTTACTGTTCAGGCAATGGGTGAAACTGAGAGGTTCATGGGGAGTCAAAGAGTTCGTTTAGTAGGATCAGTCTAATGAATAAAGAGTCTTTGGTTACAGAGAGTTACATC